GTATCTATGTGTGTGATAAATGATAGAGTGAAATAAATCAGATTTAATTGAAAAAAATAATAAGTCTTCAGTCTTATCCCTCAGAGAAAAAGTTTCCTGGGGAGTGAGCCACGTTCTGATGCCATAATACAGGGAAGGAAAAGGGTTTTAGTTGGCTGTACAAAATTTAGTCCACTGGCTTTTTTCCATTCTATATATGCTGAATCTTTAAGAAGGATAACTAAAAGGAAACAAAAATGTTTATAATTAGGAATGGCAATAATATTTTTTTAAAGAGATATTTCCCAGTCTAAATAAACTTCTGCTTTTAAAACCTGTCTTTGAATGTATCTTGTTTTTATCGAATGAGGTGCTTGTAAGCAAAAGCTATGTCATTTTTCGTATTTGCATATAAATGCTTTTCAAAGTTTTATTGCATATAAACCCAGAATCAGATAGTCTTAGTCTTAGCTACATCTGATTATTTTCACATTTTTTCAATATTTAGAATGCTTTAAAAATTGCACTGCAAGGTCACTGATTTATTTTTTTATGTTGCAGCATATTTATATCTTTTTTTAATACCTTGTGCAGCTCTGTTATGTGCAGCTATTAGCTTTCCTCTCCTTGGACATTTTCATTTCACTGTTAATTTATTTATGATCACATTTGTAGGCACAGACAAATTTAAAAAAAATCTACTTACAGTTCTTTGAAAGTTTAGTTCTGGCATTAAATTCTGTGAGCTTCAAGGATTTAATCTCAGTTATTTTGGTTACTAAATCTTTTCTGTGAAATACAGTAGTTTCTTTTAAGTTTGTGCTGTGTTTCAGGGATTTCCTTTTCCTCGCCCAGTGCTAGATTTGCAGTCGAGAACAGTACTGCTGAGGACAGGGTTCTCAAGTCAAAGGGGTTTGACTTATTGATTGCAAACCCAACACGGAGCAGAGCTTCCAGTACTTCTCTAAATTATGCAGCTGTGCTGGGCAGCTGGGAAATACCATCGGCCAGGGCCTGCCTGGAGCAGCGATTCTCTGTGTATCCAGTTTGCCCCTGTGTGAGGAAACACGTTACGGACACACGGGATTATCCCCAAGGACTGCCGAACTGGTTTTCTCCCAGCAGTCTGTTTCTCAAGCAGCATAGATTTCTTAAAGGTTTTGTGAATGTGGGCTCTAGCTTCCAGTTAAATGTCTCTTTTCTTCTTTGTATGTTTTGTCGCTTTGAATTTTATAAACTTTGTTAGTGGCTTTTAATTCAAGTTGCTTGTAGATGAGGTACTTACTTGCTAATTTAAACATCTATAAACCTGGGACTGATCTATATTCAAAATAAAATGCAGCAATTTTAAGAAATTGTTTATTTAGAGAAATATGTCTAAATACATGTTCTTCCCAAATTGAAAGACCATGCAAACGTTAGCTTTTCCATCCTCCACTCTTTCACGCTGCAAGAAATAGTGTAGTTGTGAAGGGTGGGCTCCTTCTCAGTACTTTTTTTTTCTGTTAAAGAATTAATTGAAGCCCTGCGTTGACTTGTCATTAAAAAGAAATTTAAAAATAAAAAAATAAGTTTGGCTGAAAGACATTTGTACTGAGCTCTGCATAGATTGCAATATAACTTAGAGTTATGTCTCACGGTGCAGCCACTGCCTATCGCAGACTCTGAGAAGCGGTTACTCGGTGTCCTTACTCAGAGTCGGTTGTTTCTCAGGCTGTGTGAGAGCAGCATCTCCTGTCTCCCTCAGACAACCCATAGCCTGGGTTGAACACACCAAAAGGAAGGTCGGAGGAAAGGTTGGATTTAAGGACCATGTATTTCTAATGAAGTCAGGCTATTTTATTTTCAGATAAAGCTTTCTCCTGGACTAAAGAAGCTTTTCACAGTAACAGCAGTGAGTGCGATATCTGTTATTTTTCTGGCCCATCATTTTAAAAGAAGACGTGGAAAGAAAAACAAGAAAGTGCCACCATGGGAACCAAATCACCTAGTGTTAGAGTGTACGAAAGCAGCTGCATCAGAAAAAGGTACACAAAGGAACCCTCAAGTTTTTTATTTTCTTGGAGGAGGAGAAAAGGGGTGTGAGGGAATGGGTCTGCATAACAGTACGTAGTAGTAGAACAAACTATTTCCCTTTAATGCTGAGTAGATTTGAATTGTTAAAGTAGAATTTGTGTGAATTAGGAGCAAAATTGCAGTGTCTTATAAGCTGGTCTTGTTCTCAGAGGTGAAGCTTTAATAATGAATTTGTATTAAAACTTTTTTATCAGAAGTATTATAACAATGGGAGTTGCTCTTCTTGTGGACATCTCAATACTGAGAAACCCAGATTTATTTTATTATAGGGTGGGGAAATAATTGCTCAAATGCATAGTTATTGTTATTGACTGTTCTGAGATTTATTTTATTATAGGGTGGGGAAATAATGCTCAAATGCATAGTTATTGTTATAGATATTGACCGTTCTAATTTGTAGTTTCTTGTCTAGAACTGTAAATAAATGAATAATTGTTGTTTACTTCTGAACTGGATTTTATTGCAAGGAGTAAATACAGTTCTTGATAGATCTTGCTAACAAACGACACAATGTTTTGAGTTTGCAGCAGCTTTAAAATCGGTGTATCCCTTAGGTTCTAGTTGTTCCAGTAGTCGGCAAAACTTGACTCTTTCTCTGAGCTCTGCCAAGGAAAAAGGATCTCAGTCTTGTATCTATGCCAATGGGGGACTCTTCAGTAAATACTCTGGTTCAGTTCAAAGCCTCACCTCGGTAAGTAAACGTGTTTTAAGGCTCTAGAATGTCTGTTAACTTGCACTGAATATGCACCTAATGGTTTCCCTGAGCTGAAACAGCTTTCCTGAACGACCTGCACAGAAGGCTGGATATGCTGAGACAGCCATTGTAAAAACAGCTTCCAGGCAAATAGCGTGGATGTAACGTAGGATTAGGGATGCTCTGTATAACAACACTTCAAAATTTGTGGCGTGGTTGTTTTGTTTTTTTTTTAAGGTTCACAGTGCCACCTCTTGCCACAGCTGTGCTTGTGCCAATTCTAATTCGTGGGATAAGGCAGATGAAGATGATATTAAACTTGTCAATATTCCAGTGACCACACCTGAGAATTTATATTTGATGGGTAAGTTATGATAAGAATATTCAGCATCTACCAATAACAAATGTAAATATTTTCTGGGTTTTATGGCAAAGGTGACACTTCAATATTATTGTGATGTTCTTTCACAGTGTCCTGTTACCATGTGTCTAAGAACTTTTCCATAAAATAATGGAATCTTTATTGATCTGGAGTTAGTTTTTCAAAATACATGTTTGTATTTGAAGTAGTAATCCATAAAATTATTTTTTAAAGTAAATAGGAAAAATACATTGAACATTGTTGGTTTAATCATATTGTGAACTTTTTTATCTTATTATTTATCTTTTTTTCCAGACTAGGAATTGCTGTTGGTTTAAAAACTTCCATCTCTGCTATAATCGTGTTTGTTAGCTGCATAGTTTGCTGTGACTTTAAGCTGTGAACACATATGGAGGCTGAGTGTCTGATGTAGTGACTGTATTCCTGATCTCCTCTAGGCATGGAGCTTTTTGAAGAAGCACTGCGTCGGTGGGAGCAGGCGCTAACTTTCCGTAACAGGCAAGTTGAAGATGAAGCGAGTTGTGGTTCCATTAAGACGGGAGCAGGAGATGCGATTGCAGAAGAAAGTGTAGAAGTGAGTATAGTCAATCGCTAATCTACGGTTGCTGCCTGGACAATTTATTGCATTTTGTTAGCTGAATCTTTCCAACCTCTAATTCAATTACCAAAACTGAGAATTAATTAAAATTTTCAGTTCAGTGGTATTGCATTTAACGGACATCTAACTTTGTTCCTTTTGATTTTCTTGGTTGATTATTTGGAGGAAGGGAGGAAGGGAATTAGCATTATTTACTTGTTGGCAGTTGCTGTTGTGTCAGTGTTTGCTTCTGGACAGCATTATCAAGCTACTCAGCATACTCGCTCTCTGCACGAAATCGCTTGGGTCCTTCCCTTTCTTTTATGACTATGGGAGAGGATGTCTGCTTAGCAAAGATAAAGGTCCTGGGGAAAGATGATCAGTCTATGAGTGTTCACAAATAATGTGCTTGAACTTTATTTGTATTCCTCTATTCTTATGAGCTAAATCCTAAAAATATTCTGAAATGAACATACACCTGTGTGGCTTTCATTATTTCTAGTGTGCTAAATATCACAGGTAATTTTAAAGCATTTGAAAATTTAGATTTTGGTTTTATTGCACTAAATAAAATACGTGTATGTTTAGAAAAGTGTTTGGAAGTTGGAGTATTCATCTGACAGTGTCCTAGGGCGGTTTGTAAGAAATCGCTGTGGCACAATTTGTTCTTTGAAGGCTCAATGTTCTTAGATTTTACAAAGAAATCTTACAGATTGTTGATCTTCTGGCAGGATATCATTAGTGCTGAATTCATTCATAAGCTCGAATCCCTTCTTCAAAGAGCTTATCGTCTTCAGGAGGAGTTTGAAGCCACTCTCGGGGCCTCTGATCCTGCTTCTCTAGCTAATGATATTGGTGAGTGCTCCTATTTTACATTTTTATTGTTTGTAATAATGACTCTTTTGGAGGGGAGGGGTCACTGAATTATCGACTGAGCAGAATTCTAGTCATCAGGAAATAATCAGAAAAAAAATCATGTTATTTATTATGTAATGTTGGATGTAATACTTGGATTTTAGGTAAGAATGGACTGGGAGGAAATTTTATTTTGTTTGTGTCTGATCAGTGTACTTGAGAATTTTCATAATACCTCTCAACGTTCTAAAATTTATGTTGACTTGGGTATTTATATATTTATACACTAAGAACATATGACCCTTTTTATATCATAGATATGTTAGAACGTTTTGTAGGCCGGACTGGATGTTCTCAGAGATCTTTTCCAGCCTCAATAATTCTCTGATTCTGTAAGAGAAGTTTTATATGTCTTTTAAACTACCAAATGGTGTATGCATGTACCTTTATTTTTTTATTTTTTGAGCGGGAAGTTTGTTGTAATTTTTTTACAAAAAAAACCAACCAAAACCAAATCAGAAGGATTTAGTCTGAAACAGATATCCATTATCAAAGCTCTTGTCCCTGGTGACTGAAATTTATCCCAGTTATGAGTGACTAAATCCAGATTGTTAAAATGGCAAATATAATGAATCATTGCTTCCAGACATCCTGATTTAAGTACAGTTTGATTAGTTTTATTTAAAGAATTAGCTTAAGGTGATCTTAACGAATGATACTGTTATGCTCTTTCATAATTCAAGATCCAGCGTCTGATCTCAAATAACTCATTTAAACGCAGAACACGTTCTGGGATAGTTTTAGTCTCATTTGTCAGGCTTCAGCTTTGCTGGCACGAGGTGGCAGTACTTGCCTCTCTTAGCCCTTGTGTGATCCTCCAACTACTAAATACGGATCTGAGTAAGGTGGGAATTAAATTTAGGTCTGAATTAGCTTTCTGACATATCTGCCTACACCTGTTAGTGTAATTCTTAAAGCAGAAAAGCATTTGAATGTTTTAGTGTCTGAAATCGTAAGCCCCAAATAAAGTTGCACTGCGTCTCCATTATGGAATTAGAAGTTTGTTTTTAATTTCTGTCTTCAGGCAAAATTAATGAAATGGTATTCAAGAAACTCAGTGTTCAATGTACTTAGCTATTGTTGTGCCTGGGTAACATGAAAGTATTTAAAATTGATATTTTATTTTTTTTAGATGTGATAATTAGATTCTTGATTACCAAGAATGCTCTGAGAATGTAATTCCTTTCAAGTGTTTTTTTTAATAGAAGTAATTTGTGACTTTTTGAGTAGGCGTCTGTTACTTTTTTATGAATTCTATTAATGCTGGCCCAGAAAAGACGTAAGGAAGTTGTTTAGTCAGTAGTGTTTTCACTGTTCAGGATTTTGGAGGTTTTTCATCATTATCTTGAATTTATGGCTTGAACAGCAAGTAATATATATAAGAATTGTTTTTTCTTTTTTGGAATGATTTAGAACAAAACAGCAGAACATCATCTGCTTCCAAGCACTGTGGTGCTTGAAAGATTTAATACAGAGGATGTTTTTGTTCACTATTAAGTATAAAAATGTTTCCTCTCAAAATTTCTTACATATTTTTTTTCCTGTAGAATACGACACTGAGTGTAATGTATGAATGTTTGAAATAGGATGTTTTTGAGACCGACGTTTTTATGGTAACTTCCCTGGGCGAGGTAGAAAAGTATATTTGGGAGAATCCTAGAAGCTCTTTTATGGGTTTATCCCCCCTGCCTTTTTTTTTTTAATGGAGTAACGTGAAAGAAAATGAAAGCTGCTGTCAACAGACTTTACTACACCAAAATGTACATGTTAGCATGCTAATACTTACTTTGTTTCACTTGTATTCAAAGCTTTGTGTTATTCTTACATTCCCATGTGCACACACATGTGGGTATTGACAACAACAGAAATGAAAGTGTTCAAGAGCCACAAGAATAAGCAAGTTGAAGACAATTGTTAAATCTTAGTGGCCAAAAGAAATGGTACATCATTCTTTACACTGCTAAGAAGAATAATATCCTACTGCAAAGTCTAAATGACAGTTTTGAACAAAAACAGAGCTGAAGGTGCCTCTGCTGTGTTATTTGTGGCAAAAGAGGCAGCATCTGCTAAATTGGAATCAATAGTCCTGGACAATTTATGCTCAAAATGTCTTAAAGAGGCTGATTAAAGAAAGCACTCTAATCCATCATTTACTATGCACTAATCTTGGAAAGTGGAAAATGTTCCAAATGATTGGGAAATCACCAATTTAGTTCCAAATCTTAAGAAACAAACAGCCAGCTCTAAAACTCGCAAACCCCATGTTAAGCTCACGCCTGTGAAATAATTACAGTTGCTAATTTGCAGTTCTTTACCACAGAAAACATAATAAAAGGTGTAATTAGTGGCAGTCGATATGGTTTCATGGTAGATAGTTTTTATTGGATTGTAAGTTTTTGAGAGATCTGCAATTTGGTGAACTGATAAAATATACATTAGATGGTGATAATTAGCTCACTGACATGAACATTTGTTTATACTCCTGCCCACTGTTATGTGAAATATTTACTTTACAGTGTTTGCCCAAACACCTTCCCTAGAATTTTATCAACTATGTAGTTAGTGGTAAAATATTTGGAAGTTTATAAAAAATTATCATTTAGGGCATTACAAGTATTGAATTAATAAAAAAGGAAAGGTTAGTAACAGTGGTCCGAATTGTCCGTTGAAATTGTTGCAATCTAACAAATTACATTTTAAGCTAGACCAGTATGGATTGTAGATATAGGTGAGAGATTTTGAAAGGAAATAATTTTAAAAATTAAAATTAAAATGGAATGCATTAGGAAAATAATGCATTACAGTCGATGTAAGTTCTCAGCACTGCTGCAGGAAAAAGACTATTGCTAATCTTTGGCTATAAAAGGACAACGTCAGCACAGAGGCAGAGATAAAATCTTGAGTTTGTGTGGTTTTAGAATACAAAGCAGAACAGCAGTTCTGTTGTTCATATTTCAGAAGATATGGAAATCCTAGACAGCCCAAACCAAGTCAAAAATGATCCACGTTTTGGAAAAATAAGCTAATGATATGTGGCTTAAGTGGCGTATGTCCAGTTCCTTGTTGAAGAAAGTACCGAGCAGTGTGTGATTTGTTCTGAATAGCTACTTACACATGGGAATGGCATGTGAAGTGGGGGCATTTTGTCAAACCCATAACTAGATCCAATTTCTGGTTTAAGTTTTGAAGTAAGTTGCTTCTGATATGTGTTGAATATATTTCAGTGTTTTAGGCAACATTTTTTTTTTTTTAATGCTGTTTTGAGGGATGTTTTTATTCCTCTTTGAGATGAAGAGATGGACTTGAAGGTAAATGGTCGTTGTGGTTTTTCTGGCATTTGAGCATTTAGCTGAGCTGCAGCTTTTTTTTTTTCTTTTGTGGGTCTGGAAGTGAAGAAGTAGTTGTCTTTGTTGTCCTTAACAGGTTCATGACACTTGCAGCTTGGTGTCAGAATGCTTATAACCAGCTTTTATGCTTCAAGCTTTTGACCCACAATGGCGATCAGAAAATAGTCTGCTTTGTTTTTTTGAATCTGATGAGCATGATGGTTAGATACGATTTGTGGACTTTTCTTCCATTTTCTCCGTCTGAAGCACTTGTGATTAGGCACAGCTGGAGACGGAGCTCTGGCAGTTGGAGTCGCTATGAAGCGTTATCAAAAGACTTGCTACATAAATGTCTGGCTGGCACTTCTTATTCAGAAGCTCTGGGCTATAGTGAGCTCTAGATTTGGGCAGGAAGAAAACTTAACAGCTAAAAATTTCCATCAATTGCTCTTTTTCAGCTTTCTCTGTAAAATTTTCTGTCAAACTTACAGGGCACCTGAAACCACTCTCTTCCCTCTGTGTCTGCTAGTTCCGGATGTTGCTCCTTCCCAAAGCCTTTAAACATTATTCTTCCCAAGTCATCATTTCGCTCCAGCTAATCAAATTAATGCTGCCATTGATCAATCATACCACAGGCTTGCTTTTCTTTTTGTGATCCCATTTACCAGTTGGTTGATCTTGTGCGGTAGGAACGGAATACCAAGTAGGATCGCAACTCTGGACTTCAGCAGGGCCAACTTTGGCCTTTTCAAGCAATTGTTAGGGGAATCCCCATGGGACAGGGTACTAGAAGGTAAAGGGGCCCAAGAGAGTTGGTCAGTATTCAAGGACCACTTCTTCCAGGCTCAGGATCAGTGCATCCCAACATGTAGGAAATCAAGAAAGAGATCCAGGAGACCTGCATAGTTAACCAGAGATCTGCTGAGCAGACTAAAGTGGAAGAAGAGAGTATATAAATCATGGAAGGAGGGGCTGGCCACTTGGGTCGAATATAGGACTGCTGTGAGAGAATGTAGAGAGGCAATTAGAAACGCTAAGGCCTCCTTGG